TTACTACAGGACTAGTTATTTCATTTCATTTTTTAGGTTAATGTATAAATAGAATGTTATCATTCATCTAAGTTAAACAATGTGCTGTGATAAATTTACAAAAATTATTACAAGGGTAAAAATTGACTAATTATTATGAATTAAGTATAACTAGGGTCACAAAATGAAAAAAATTGTTGCTAAAGTTATTTTTTATGCCGTGGTAAATTTAATGTAAGACAATATCATTATTTCATTAATTATTTTTTATATTCTAAAGCAAAATATTTTTTGAATTACTTATGGAGATATAGTAATCAAATTTCGGATTTTGTTAAACTTTGGTATTTTTAAATTATATGAACTGAAGAGTGGAAAAACATTTTTCCCATTAGCAGTACACCTAAGTTTGTAATTATATTGAAAAGAAATGAGCCAAACATTAGTCCTAACAAACCGGATCAGAACGTAAGCGTCAATAGTGTTACACACATTGTAGCTAATTTGACTTACAAGTCCATGGTAGAAGATAAAGAAGCTATGAAATTCAAGGATGAAGACAAATGACCAGGTGAGTGATTCTAGCAATTTAGCACCTAATTAAATGAAAATAGCTTTATTTCCATAAATTATATTATCCTGTCCTTGTGTTAAAATAAACATTGTTGGGGAATATATTTAAGTCTATATCCAGAATATCATGTTATAAATAAAAACGAGAGATAGTGGGTAAAGGTCGATCATAATGCCTGATGCAAATAACGAATTGGCCGCATTCGTTCTACGTTGTATCGAGACCATTTGACCGCTTCCCGTATAACAGAGCATACGGTGGAGAAAATATACGGCAAGTGCTGAATACCGACCCGCCGGCAGCCGACCGCCAACAAACTAATAAGCAATATGCGTCGAGCACGAACAATAAATAGCGCGGAGGACGCGCTCCGTTGCAACACGCGTCGTACCGGCGGTAATCAACAACTAGAACTTAGAAGCATCTAATACCGGTATCTGATGGTACGGATGAGTGAAACACCACCTCATAATAGTACCCGAGGGAAGACAACATGCTCCGAAGAACGAATAAAATCAGATTCCATCAAAAGGCCCATACACCAAACATCAAGAATCGTTCACGAAGGATGCCGGAAAGTGCTTAAATACACCGCGTGAACGACGTTGAGTACCGTTCCGTTTCACATCGCAATAATCAGTATATCCTCTACTGTTGCGGTGACATGCTGACTACCTAGATCCAATATCAATTGGATCAAACTAGTGTCTAGTCCCGAAGAGCTGTATAGCTATACTAATCCCATATTCCTCCGTACTAGGGGCCAATATTAATTGATCAAAACTAGTCGGACGAGTATTTTTCCCGTCCGAGCCGAGTACCGTCCGCCTCAAACCACTGATACACTGTCCTGATCTACGATCAGTACTGCCGCCATCAGAGCCTCACAACCAACATTCGGCTACTCAGGACCACCGTGAGTCAACGCTAGATAACCGATTTATAACATTTTTTCCTTGTTACACGTTTCTCTTAAATGTCAAGTCACATTAAGTGGCATAATCTGCTTAAAAAGAAAATATTGTATTGAAATAAAATAAAAATGTGAAGAAACAACATACAATAAAAGATAATAATTTTAATGAACAACAAAAAATTAAGTGTTCGTTATTAATTATTACAAAGTTGTGGACAGGTAAAAGCACAACTCGCTCGTTTTCAGACATTTCTGAATGAGCCAAAGTCCAACGTTACACCGCAATTAAGATTAAGAGCCGAGAAAATTCGTGAAGCATGGAACAAATTCAATGCAATTCAAAACAATATCGAAATGTTAGACGTTAGAAATAATGATCAATTCCAATATAGGTCTGCATTTGAAGATCTGTATTTCGATTTAATGACACAAGTCAACAATGTATACAGGGTGAAAATCATAACTTTCCATTAGTAAAACATAAATCGTTAGAGATTCCTACATTTACTTGAAAATTTGAGGATTGGGTTACGTTTCAAGACATATTTTGTGCATTGGTACACATAAATAAATTAATAACAGGTATTGAACAATTTTTTTATTTAAGAAATGCACTAGAAGGTGAAGCAAGTTCATTAATTAAAAATGAAGAAACTTCTTCATCGAATTATGAAATTGCACGGAAATAAGTTACTACGCGATACAAAAATACTCGCATGTTGATTCAAACACATAATATGAAACTCATTTTCGATCTGGAGCCAATTAATATAGAATCGCGGGCGTTAAGCTAAAACAGTTAACTGATTCGCTTAATGCACTTGTCCAAGCATTAAAAGCTTTAAATCATGATCCGTACAATTGGGGTGCATTAGCTTTGCTACTATATGTCATAAACACTAAACTTAACACAAATTCAATGCGTCAATGAGAAATGGACGTGTCGAGAGACGACTTACCGAGTGTACAATTAATGAAGGAGTTTCTGGGTAAGAGAAGTCAAATGTTAGAGTCGGTCGAAAATGAAAAATTATTAACATCCAAACAAAACAATTCAAGTTATTCGTCAACCAAAACCTCAAAATTTGGGACATCAAAAAAAGGTGCATCGCCATTTTTAACAACGTATAAAATGAAATGTTATATGTGTCAGCAACCACACCCAATATATAAATGTTCTGTATTCCTGGCACTTGATATAGCGTCTAGAATAAGAAAAGTCAACAAGCTGAAATTGTGCAGTAATTGCTTAAAAAAATTCGACCATCAGGCAAAACAGTGTCCCGCGAGGAAATGAGGAAAGTGTCAAAAACTACACAATACACTCTAACATCAAGATCAAGAAGCCAATTTTGAAGAAAGAATTATACAGGGTGACGGTTCAAACGATGCACTAGTGGTTGCGCATACCGTGGATGCCACCAATGTCGATAATCAAGTGTCACTGGCGACAGCAATAACAAAGATATCAAGTTCTTCCCGCAAAAATATGCACGGCCGGGTATTACTAGATACGAGTCTCGAAGTAATTCTATTACAAATAATTTGGTACATAAACTCGGTCTCAAACGTTACAAAGTAAATATACCGATATGCAGAATAAGTGAGTCAAAGAACAATATTAAGTACAAAGTAACAGCCGTTGTGTTATCATTAAATAGTTCGTACGTAACGACAATCGAGTTTCAAGTGTGAAGTGTTATCAAAAATAACAGGTTCATTACCACACATCCCTACACACATTGTAACTTGTAAGCATTCCCGACCACATTAATGTCACAGACCCTTCATTTACGTATTCGGGCATTATTGACGTTCTTATCGGAGATGTTACTTATTGGGACATAATGTGTGATGAAAGGTTAAAAACCAAAGAGACTTAATTTTGTCGATGTTTTGTCTACGACTACCCATCCGAATAACGTTTTTTGCAAATACGGACAGTCTTTGGTTTTTAACTTCTCATCACACATTATGCCCCAATAAGATATCTTTTGAACAATATTAAGTACAAGGTAACAGCTGTTGTGCTATCATTAAATAGTTCGTACGTAACGACAATCGAGTTGCCGTATTTGCTCGGATGGATACAAACAAAGAATCCCGAATTATACATGAAGTAAAAAATGTTTACGAGAAACTACGAAAGTCTCAATCATATGGAATGTGTTTATGATACCGGCGAAGAAAAGCAGTTAAAAAACCTCGCTAAAAATATGGATGACAGATTTATAGTTAAACTACTACCATTGTAAGCATTCCCGACCACATTAATGTCGCATACCCTTCATTTACGTATCCGGGCAATATTGACGTTCTTATCAATAACATTTGTTATTTAACAAAATAGAATTATTTTAGAAAATAGAAGAACCATCGTCGAAGCATAATTTCACTGACAAAAAAAGATCGTGTAAAACACATTTTAACGATAACCTCGCTAAAAATGTGGTGCCAGATTTATAGTCAAACTGCCATTCAAAGAAAATTGTCATCAGCTGGGTAAGTCATACACTTTAGCTCAACGAAGATTTCTATCATTAGACAAACGGTCAACAAAGAAACCCGTATTATACACGAAGTATAAAATGTTTACGAGAAAGTACGAAAGTCTCAATCATATTTAATGTGTTACTGTCCGCACTTGTATCTTGTATGTAATTAAGTGAATTAACAACTTTAGTAGAACGACAAAATTACGCGTCGTGTTTGACGGACCGACAAAAACTAATGGTGTGTCAAACATTGTCCGCATTGTCCGTTGGCAAACGGATATTAATACCGAACAACCCTGGTTTGACATAGAAATACGTCTTTTATGAAGTATTTCCTTACTTTTTTGTTCAACTTGATGACACTATTGAGAGGATGTCTACGCACTATTTGTTTGCTCTTTATGTCCTACGCACAACAAAGCAATTGTTGTGCGAGGGATACAGAGAGCAAACAAACAGTGCTCTGACATCCTCTACTGATTTTTTTATTCTATCCCATAAGTCAAGGTTTTCAACCTGTCACTAGGTAGTTTTCCGCTGATTGGTCTAGTGGCGTTTGCAATTCAAGAACCTTTCCTACGTATTCGACATTGTTAACCTAACTATTCTACCTCCACACTTCCTATTCTCCCTCCCTGCAATTCTCACTCTCTCTCCTTTCTCTCCCTCCCACCTATCCACCTTTTCTCACTCAGTATCTCTCTCTCTCTCTCTCTCTCTATATTCCCCCTTTTTTCCATCTCGGCACCTCTCTATCTCACTCTCTCTCTCTCGCGCTCACACACAGTCTCTATAGTGCCTACAGGTCATCGTACCTGATAATCGGTGAAAATATTTAAATATTACAAAAAAAAAATTTAAAATAAAAAAATGTCATACTTGACCAATTTCATAATTTTTATCATAATTTTATTGATAGCTGGAATAGCGTTATACCAGTAGATGCAATACAATTAAATTGAAAAGTTGGGGGCAATACAAACTCTGATCATTTAACAATATCAAATAAATCTACTGAAAAATAAAAAGTACATACCACATGTTTTCTGCTATACAACTAAGTCTTTGAAACACTCACGTCAACACATTTCATACTGCGTAATATGACATTGTACTCAAAATTGCCAAATTTTCTCTGGCGAATAGCATCTCTGAAAAAAACGCAGCCTATATAGTAAAATGTTCAACAATATACGTATGAGCTATTTGTTATTAGAAATTACAGATATTATATAGCTAAAATAATCGCTTTAAGTTTTAGCTTTCATCTTAACTACACGTAGTTATTATGTGTTAAATTGTGTTTTGACTATTTTATTATCTTATAGAAAACGCCGTTATAAATATTCAGTAAAAATGTCATATATATACACGGTATTTTGTTTTTTTGAGAGTTACATCAAAAACCAAAATCGATTTGGTCGAAACCGGGTTTCTGTAAAAATTCACTTTTTTTCCTTAATTTTTTGTTTATTTTTCCGGCTGCTTTTGAAAACTATTGAGAATTTTTTTGTTTGGACTCCTCGAAGTACCGATACTATTCACATTTCTAACAGAAAAGATGCTGTTAAAGAAAATCGAGGCACTTTTACTTTCCCAAAATAACGTGAAGACAGGAACAAAAAAACTTTAAAATATAAATTGTAAAATCAATACATTAATTCATCGCTCCGCTCGAAATCTTAAGAAGTTACACAGTTAAAATTGAAATAACTTTAATTTCTTAACTCGTACACACCTAAGTAACTACACAATTTTAGGATATCTGAAAGCCTGTGTGTACATATTACCCAACATCTTATAAAGATACCTATGCTAGTATAAAAGTATATTTTTCATAATTACTCGTACGGGGTGGTTACTGGTTAAGATGGCGAGTTTACCACTCTGTGAACATTTTTGTTTTTTAGATACAACTAAAATATAACGTAATATTAATGTATAATAGAACAATGAAATATATATAAGATATAACACTAAATTAATAGTGTCCTGTAACTAATAACTTTGGATTTAAAAAAAATTACAAGTTCTAAAATAAAATTGTGTCTCATGAGTAATCACTCATAACGGATATTTCTAAATTGAACCGTATAATGTATGTCTATTTCAAGTAATTAAAAATAAGTTATAATAATTAAATTACCCTAAGATTAGGGAGCGGAAAATGACGACGACGAGGTGCGTTAGTATATTATAAATTATAATTATTTGATCTCTCGTATTTTATGCATTTACTCTCAGAAATAAAATATGTGTCTACATAGGAGTAGCATATTTTTCATGAAATTAAATTTTTATTTGAAGTATAAAAAGTAAATTTAACCACCCAAAAAATATGAAACCAAAATTAATTACTTTAAACATCGACGCTTTCGGGCTTCGGCGGAATCCTTGATTATTGTGTGTGCACTGCGGAATAAATCAGATACCTATGACTGAACTTAAGTTTTGCTTTGCTAACTGAAATTTTAGATCGATTACGTCTTTGCAACTACTAAGACAATCGCCACGGATTTCATTATAATTTATAATACGTCAATATGATAAAACCATAGATGGATATTACATTACAAATTTTTATATCAAAGAGGTCCGTGTTTGAGATTTGATCATTAAGATAATGAAATGAGATATAACAATAACCAAAATAGTTTATAATTTTAAAATTTAAATTACAACAGTAATATATAAAGTACCTATTATTTTAATTTTTAGTTAAAAAATTGATAAAGGTAGTGTTTAAATATTCGAAGCACAAACATTTTTTTTATGAGTTAATAAATAAAAATCTTATTTTAAATAAATGTGATTTCTACTTTTTAGATTTAACATAACGGTATTTAGTGCCTAATGCATCACATTTACCGTATACCGACTAACCAACCATAATTTGTAAAATTTCAAGTTAAATCTGTTCTCTGAATACTGACGAGCAAGAAATTAATAATTAATATTTTATGTATTCATTTTGAGTGCATGCATTGGTTAGGTATATTTTAAGCTATTCAAGAATATTTAAATTTTGAAATTTCCTTATTTAATTTCCGATGGAAATTCAAAAATCAGCAGAGCGACTTTCCCAGCTTTATAAAATAATGTGATGTTTGATGTACGACGGCGTCATTTTAATTCGCGGTTCGACCACAAACAGACGGCATAGTAATATTCATACATTACTTAACATTTATATAAACTAAAAATAAAAATTGTTGAGTTTATAAAAACTCCTGTGTACTGTTCTACTGTAATATAACTAGTATGTACAACACTATTTATATCTATTTAATTTTATAAATATGTTATTATTCTGCAACCTGGATATGCCATCGTTGTTTGTGATACCGTATTTTTCTGTGTTGCGCGCTCAGGAACAAAAAATATACAACTACTTCACCCGGGTAGCAAATCAAATTTTAATTTTCGACTCTTCGGAGTTCGGGTAATATATAGCTACAAGGCGTCATATGATGAGTGCAGATGCCATATCGAGGAACTTCTTTCTTCATCTAAATCCGAATTGAAAAAATCGAGATTTTTTATAAAAATTACTTGAGTAGAATGTAATATGTGAGTAAATGTTTATTGTTGCCATACACATTTCTCTTTTGTTCAATGCAATTATTAGAAGTGTTAATCGTGTCCGGTGAGTGACGACGATCGGCTTTTGCCATAGATGATAGGTATTATAATATAATATGTTGTCATCAGTTTTCGAGTTTTTGACTTCTTTGGATTACACAGTACATTTATAATTTCAAATTCCGAAACAGAATATTATTGGGAGTGTTTAAATCTATACAATGCAGAACACGGCACTCTGAGTATAGGCCATTTAGATTTTTAGATACACTATGACGCGAGTCAATTTTTACGTCCGGCATCAAACAATATTGTTTTTAGTCTTAACGGTTAAACTATAACTTAACATAAAACTCTAGAAGTGTCGAGACTTGAAAAAAATTCAAAATTAGGCTTTGAAATTTACAAAAATAATAAAAAAATGGATACTTTAATCGTGCCTATAATATTCTCTCTGGGCTCGGCAATAATATGTTATAAAACAATATTATTCCATAATAGTGTGCAGTCACCGATGTATTTGCAACAAAATTGTGTGGTTATATTATACTACTACACTATAGTGTAATAAATAATATAATATGTATACAGCCGCGTAGGTACCTAACTAAGGCTCTCGCATAAAGGTAAGTGGCGGGGGAAAAAAATGTATCGCTTCCCTCGTACCTGCCTATATTTATTGTTTTATATTTTATAAACTTACCCAACAAATTAAGTACTACAAGTCTACAAGTAGGTATAGTTTATACTTTGCAGATGTCGCTGTGGGTATTTCTTAAAATAGATAGTATTTTAAAAAAAAAATCATGAACATTTTAGGTTGTTAGTTAGGTACACATGAATTTACTAGACCAATTTGAATTAGTTAATTAAAAAAAGTTGTTAAATTAAGTACCTAAATAATAAGTCACACGTCACATATGTCACATCGTACCATGCTGATATAGTAACACAAGATCCAAGTGATATGCATTTCCAATAACATTAAGATGTAACAATTAATGGTGAATACGGTTTAATGTTTTTAATATTATATGTTCAACAATTATTCGTAATATTTTTTGTTTTAAAGGAAGTTTCCGAAACGTACATCAATGAATATCAGTTTTAAATTTTTTCAAACTTATAAGCCATATAACAGTTAAAAATTGCATTTACTTGTTAAAATCTGTATATATGTTATGTTTAAGGTAGTAGGTACATTAGTTACACGATATAGACACATAAATAATGAATAAATTATTTAAAAAATGTGATTTTATATCTTTATTAAAAAAATTATATAACTGAAATTGAAAATATAAATATATATATTTTTTAGTTAAGGTTTGTAGTATTATATTGATAGGACATGTTTACTTTGATGAACTGATTCAGTGAATTTTTGATCATAAGAATCATAAGTCAACTTGTTCATTTGTTTGTGACCCCCGAAAAATTTAATTTGTGGAATCATTAATCAAATATTCGATGAGTTGTTTCTTATCATTATTATACAAAATTAAATCAAATCACATAATTCTAGTTCACACATTAATATAAGTCTTAAGTTAGTAAACTAGGTTTGAATACAAAATAGTTATTCATAAGAATGGAAATATCTATTATCCAAGGAGTCAATATTTCCATTTTTCGTTTTAATTGATGACATTTCAATTTAGATAATGTAAAAAAATTATTTTGTTGACATATCAAAATGACAATAAATAAAAATCATCTAGATCCTATGTAGTTAAGTAAAAAGTAATAATATTAGCCAACAAACTATATACAGTAATTAAAGATCAGATATTTATCAATAGAATAATATGGACAACTTGCTGGACAGTGAAATGATATAATTTAATCTTTAAGTCAGGTAAATCAATCACCCAGGGAGATTTTATTTAAAAATAAATATTTTAGCAAATTGAAAATGGAAATGATTTCTTAAATAATATTTTAAGAATTTCATATTTTATTTTATTGTTTATAATTGTATATCTACGAATAAGAAAAATTGTAATACCTTAATTATAATATAAAAAATTTTAAAAAAGTTCAAAAAAATACAAAATTGGTTTGTTTGTCTTTTAAAAATGTTTTATTTGTAATATGTATTTAAATATTTGTGGGATTATTGAATAATTTAGTTTTATAAAATAGTATGTTTTTGTACATCAACTGTCAAAAGTAGCTGAAGTTAATTGTTATTAACAAGATGAATACCTTTATCTAACTTGAAGACAAATATTTCCAAAAAATAAACAAATGACGTTACTTGGCTTATAGAAAATAAAACCAAAACTTTGTTGGTAGCATATATTTTATCAAAAACAGTAGTTGACTCTAATGTAAATGTATATTAATAAGTAGAAATTATCAATGTTTTTTTATTTTTTTATTTTTTTAAGAAGTTTAATACCTATCTTATACCTTTTGATCTGTTTTGTCACCTTTATTTAGCTAAGCTTGTAAATAAACAATAAATAAAATATTTCTACATTTTAGCTATTGGTAAATTTAAAAGTACTTGCAGTGCTTGGATTTTTTATTTATTTGTATTGGATCAGCACCATCTTATACATTAACTTAACACCATTACAAAACAATATTAATTTTTAAACAGCAGATACCTACATTATATTTTAATAATATTTAAGCAAGTCAAATCTTCAGCTTAACACTTTTCTTCGTACAAAGAATAACATTTATCATATATGTTATCCAGAATTTGTCTTCTAAAACTAAATCTGCAAGAATATTGTTCATGTGCTTGCATGGCTCTAAAAAATTGGTATAAAAATGAACAACAGAAGACCTATTGGAACTGAAAAACACAAAATACTATATTAATTTTAGACTTCAAAAAGAAATTCATAGATTTTTAACAAATAAAATAACCTACATAATATTACATAGTATATTGTGATCTTTTTTTTTATTATTATTTTCTCCTTTGTTTACCTACAATGGGCTCTACAAGAAGTTAATTTATAAGTCCACGTTTAAACACTGTACCAATTACAGTGATAACTGATTTGAGTAATTACTAAAATAAAGTATTTAAAATACTACAGAAATACTATCTAATATCTATAGTAAAGTATTTGAAATAATTTTCAAATACAAAACAAAAAAATCAATTTAATTCTGAGTCATTCGTAATATATTATATTAATCGAACATTTGAGTGTTGCATTTTAAGAACATATTTGTTCAAAATGTTGATTCGTCATATTTGTTCTTTTTTAGTATTGTTGCATCACCAACACTAAACACTCTCTACTGATGCACTGCTAGGTAGTTCACAAATACCTGAAAACTAAGTACAAATGTTTTTGTAAGATTACTAGTAATAGTATAAGAAGTTTTCAACTAATCTTACTTTTTTGATAGTGGGTAAATTATGCAAACATTCTAAAGTCTTTATTGGAGATGAGCCCAAATATCTATCTATTTCATCACTAACTGTTGATTTTTCCTCTCGGGAATTTTGTGACCAGGTTAAAAAGGTAGATAAATTATCTTTCATTTGTTTATCTTCTACATCATTATTGCCATTATCACTGGTATGTAAGTCATAACAAGCACTTTTTAAATAGTGGGTGGCAGACTGCAGCAGTAATTAAAAATTTGTCTATCAAATAATCGGCAAACCTTGTTTTCATACCTAAAAAACCAAAGTTATTATCAATAAAGTTTGCTTATTTTAGCTCATGAGTATATAAATGTAGGTACTACACAGAAATATAAATATAAATAATAGATCAGCTGATTAAAATTTTACATTATACATCAGTAAGACTATATATTTACTACTTAGTAGATAGTATTTACCAATAAAGTAAACCAAAAACAGCTAAAATGAAAAGAAATTAAATGTGTACAATTTAAGTACTTGGCTAAAAAAGATTAATATATTTTTTTTTTTTTATTAGCCATTAGTTAAAACCATTACGGATTAATATATTTATAAAAAATATTAATTATTATTTATTACATACCATTAAGTATGACAGTCACCAGAGGTTTCAAATAATTAGAAACTGTTTGATCACTTGTCATTAATTCATATTTATAAATGAATTCTTCAATTATAGGTAGGAGATGACCAAAGTACATGTTAGTATCACCCTGGAGTAAATCCAAGCTTATTGAAATTGGCCCCATAATTGTTTGATATTGACATATGAAATAAATATCACCATGTTCATAAAAAATATAGATAAAATAATTAATAATTTTTTAAGATTTACAATTTACCAGCCAATAGCCAATTTTTCCATTATTATTCTAAACTTAAGTTCATTATTTTTAATTTATTTATTAAGCAGCACCACTACATCATACAGTGAATTCCAACGTGTCTCGTTGGGTGTAATTAAATAAACACCAAGATTTTATTTAAATAAATCAGGTGACTTAGTTGAGCGATCTTGTTTATTCCACAAAGCGGTAGACTTGGCAAAAGTGCTTCTTGACTGTTTTTTGTATGCAAGATTAGACAAAGCTTTTTTAGAGTCCTAGAAAAAACAAGTTATACAAATAAATTATTTTATTTTGTATTTAATTTGTACAAATTTGTAATTAATAATAAAAAATTAAACAAACATAATTTATTGATATTTAAAATTGAAATTTGGGTATACATAATAGAAAATAGTTAAAGCCAATCATATTCATACTTAAATCTTAGAATATATTTTTCATATATTTTTATCATTTAAATTGAAAGAAAATTTAATTTTTAAATGTATTACAACTCATACAAATTTGATTATGATTATTAAGTGTTAAACCTACTACCATTGATTATAAATACTTGTATTTATAATCAATGCTACTACCTAATAGTTTTGTCCTGATCACTATACTTGCTCAAAATATATTCTTTTCGATAAAAATATTTTTAGTATTTTATAATTTAACTATATTAGGTTATCTACTTAAATAAATGTTTAATTATCATTGTTGCTATTAAATGTATTGTGTGTGCACAACATCGATGGTGTTTTGGTAATGCATATGGCAAATCATGGTCTTCATCATTTAGAATGTTCAAGTTGAATGTGTCGATTTTTTTTAAATCATTAACAACCGTATCATTCACTAGCAATGTACCAGTGTATAGTCATGAAGATATCAACTACTTTTGTTAATGCTGCAACTAAAAACCATTTAATAAAACAAAAAATAAAAATAAACAATACACATTCTTACTTTGACTAGTTAATTTTTTGTTCTTCAAAAAATCTTCTAAAACTGGTTGTTTTAAAGAACTACCAGGATTATGCTTCAATGATCCATCATTGAGTCTCTTTAAACAGTTTTTGTTCCCTGCATAATCAATGTGATCAATTTTCTTTAATATAGTTGAATGTTGTGTCTGAATAAAATGAAATAATATAACCTTTTACTTAACATTATAAGTTTTGATAAATAATTTACATTTTTTGATCAGTGGCGCAACTGGGATTTTTTTTTGAGGGGAGGGGATTATTTATTTTATTTTATTTCATATACACAAGAATACTAGGCCCCTCTGAGATGACTCATGTGGGGGCCCAGGAAAATACATAATATAGAATAACGTAGAATAATGAGATCTATGATACATCTTAAGCACTTGAAATTTGACTTTTAAAAAGCTGTGCGCCACTATTTTTGATGTATTTTTGTAATATATTAGGTATTTGTGTGGTATTTAAAATTAATTTAACACACAAGATATTAGATGAGGGTCACCTGTCATAGGCAGGTATGAAATTAACATTGTACTTACGCTTAAATGTTTTCTTATATTAGAGTTTGAACGTGAATCCACCCTGTAACACTTTGTATCGACACAACTTAAGCACTTCACTTTCAGTTTCTTGTAAAAAAAATTATAATCAATGACTCTTAATACTTAAAAATATTTTTAATAATTTGGCCATGGTAAAATTGGTTCTTCTAAATCTGCAACATGAACGACTTCGGAAGAAGAATAACAATCACTCATTGTATTACAATTTAAAACAATTTAAACAATGAAAACAAGAGTATACGGTTGATGTAATACAATTATTAACAATCTTTAGGAACGTAAAGCAGACAACTACAGCGAACACGATACGAATATTGAATAATATGAACCCAAGTAATAAATATTACAATAGTGTAAAACAGCGTAGAGGGCTATAATAAAAATGCAATATTGTAATAGTGTATAAAATTGTGCAAATAACAAATAATAATTGGCAATTGATTATTCGTGGTCCGTACGCACAAAAATAATATTATTTTCTAATAAGATAATACCATATTCTACATAATATTATTATGCTACTATTATAGCCATATTCATTTATTTATAGCAGAATCAGTTATCAGTCAATATCAATGTTTATGTTTTTTATTATATTAATTATAGCTTTTAATTAAGAATAGGCCGCACCCGCATATTATGTTGTCTCCGTACGCAGTAGTGCAGTACACAGAACACACGTATATTTCAATCATGGGTACGACATAGCTAATGTTCGTATACAGTGGCGTATTTACGGGGGGGGTCCAGGGGTACTGGACCCCCCCCAGAACCTCTCATAAAAAAAAAAAAACTAAAATTCTTACATATTTGCAGAACCCGATTTATGTAAGCACGCTCGGTCGCGCGGATATAGTTTTTTCCCGTGAACAAAATATAATAGCATGGTTTTAAGTAATAAGACGTATTATAAATTTATAGTAATGTTATTCTGACGACAGTTTTTCTATGTAACGACCTTATACGAAGTGCGATAAACCGATAAAATTAATAGGTATCAAGTACCCGTATCTTTGAAATATAAACTTTATCACACAGAAAAACGATTATGGATGGATTTGTGTGTATAGCAATTAGCAATATTTGTGTAGCCAATAGCCATATATGGATAGGTATAATAAAATATAAATTAGTGGCTTTTATAAGATATTACACATTTTCTATTAGTCTCATTTTGCCTTCAACAACTATACGAGTAACGTGTGAACCAGTGAACAAGTGTTTATTGTATTTTGATCAATATTAAGTAAGTACACAATATATTGCTTTTATTATGTCTCAGCAAACTTCGTTAAGCCAATTTTTTAAAAAATCAAATGATACAAATGTTCTACAATTTGACCATCACAAATCTTCAGTTTCCGTAACTTCTCCAAATAAACGACCAATTTCACCAAATATAGATAATAATGTCAAACGTATCAAAATGTCAAAAAAATCTGACAATACTGAAACAGAAAATGAACATAATTTTAACAATTTCGATATTGGATTTTATTTTAACCGCTCGTTAACAGATGTAGAGAAAGAAGAAGTTCTTAAAAAAATTTGGAAGCCCGAACCTACTTTTGAATTCCCTAATACTGTTATATTTAGTGGTAAAGATAAGCTGTATTTTATGAAGAAGATTTAAATGGTAATAATTCAATAATAGAAGAGTTCCAACTGTGGCAAAGAAAACTTAAAAAATTGGAAATAAAACCAAAAAATTCAATTGATGCACTGAAGTTGTGTAATGCAGACATATATCCAGGAGTTAATAAGTTATTTCAAATTTTGTCTACACTTCCTATATCTACGGCTTCAAACGAACGGACTTTTTCATCACTAAAACGAATTAAAACATATCTACGAAATACAATATCTGAGGTAATAAAATATTATTAAGACATTTTAATTTTAAAACTAATATTTGTGGTTGTTTTGTTTTGTTAGAAAAGACTTAACGGATTGGCTATGTTAAATATTCACAGGGATCTTGAAATCACTGTTGATGAAGTGATAGAGGAGTTGGCAAAAAAATCTAGACGACTGGAATTTATTTTATAACAATACTTTTCATATGTAGTGCTTAATACAATATATAAATATATAATATTACATAAGACTATACTATTATATATTTTATTCAACTTCCTCCAAAAACTTCATAAGGACGTAACTATTATAAGATATCATTTTTTATATTAATTATGTAAAAACTGAGGACCCCCCCCAGAAAAATTTGAAAATACGCCACTGTTCGTATAATATTTCGAATTTCGATATAATACATGTTGGTAGGTAACGATAACGTACCGTTGCGATCTTCGTCGACGATAAACAGACGGTTTCCCGGAGTAAAAAATATTTAGTTAAGCTAAAGATATTTAATTAATTAATTATATTTAAACTAAAGACGAAAACCAAAATCGATATCAAATTATTCATAAATTATAAATATATATATTATTACAATGACATTATTATTATTTGACAAGGAATAAAGAATAAAGAATTAAAGGAATAAAAAAAAGTATTCAATAAAATAATATTCAATAGTAAAAAAATGTATTTAAAATACCGTTCAAATACTTCAAAAATAAAAGTATTTTAAAAAGTATTCAATACGAAAAAAAGTATTTGAATACTTTTACTCAAATAATTTACAACAACAACACTGATACTGATACAGGTAAATATATTAAAAATGTTCTCATGTATATATTATATTATATTAATTTAATACAATTATTTTTATAGATTCACTAGTGTCTAGTGTATAATATTGATACTGAAGATTTTTTTGCTGACTCGGCTGCTAATCATGGGGTTAGGAAAAAAAAGCAAGTGAATAAAAAGCAAGTGAAAAAAAAGCGAAAATCAATTATTATTATTATAGGTATAAATTTTACATAAAAAAACGCAAATGCCTGCGTGATTTATTAAAAAATACCTAGTGCTACTTATTAAAGTTACCTCCCCCCTAAGTTTAAATTGGAAGTAGTGTCACTGGACACTCCCTTCCCTCATGATTTTCATGTCCTGTAATTTTTGTTCATCATATTTACTTATTATATAAATTGTATATAGATTGTAAATTTTCTTAAATAAAAAAAAAAAAAATAATAACAAAAATTACTACTAAAGTATTCATTTTAGGATTATAACCTATGCTATAGCATACTAGTGCATTATTTTGATCAAACTTATATTTCGGGAATAAATAGACCAATTGGAATTTCACGGCCAGGTAAAAAAACTAAATTTCGAAATATTCTCCCAATCTTCCCGCCTGCTACGTAGAATGTACACGAAACAACTATTAAAAATGCAGAGCGTACTAATAATCAAACAGAAGGATTTAATCATCGATTTTCTAAACTCGTTAGCTATAATCATCCCTCTATTTGGACACTAATTAAAAAAATTAGATTAGAGATAGATTTAGATAGCAGACATGTAATACCTACACTTATAACCACGGTCTTAAATATATACATAATATATTTAATTAATGAATTATTTTTATTTGATTTTTTTTTTAACAAACTATTTGTAATAATTTATACCTATAATAATAATAATTGGTTTTCTCCTTTTTTTCCAATATGCTTTTTTTTCAATTTACTTTTTTTTCCAAATGCTTTTTTTTCACTTGCTTTTTTTCCTTTGCTTTTTATTCATTTGCTTTTTTTTCCTAAACTCGCTAATCATGGATTATTGGACCGGATGGATACTGCTAACCTGCCCAGTACCCATCCGTGTTATATAGCAGATAGGAAGGTGCCCGGCTTCTAAGCTTCTTTTCGAATGGAGTCGATGCCATCCACTATTTTTAATATAATTTATAAACACTATGTATATATTACAACGAAATATGTTTTACTTAAACCACTAACACACAAACGTTCAAAATGCCTATAGAAAATTTTCAAATCTTGGTGGTCAAAGATATGACCGGTGTAACTGTAAACAGCAATGCAAGACAAATAAATGTAAGTATAAGGCTGCAAGTACTTCTAAATGTGATGATAACTTAAGTTGCAAAAATAAAATTTAAAAAATAGTTAATATTGCATTTTTGTATGTAACAATATGTATCGTGATCCGCGGGCAGATATTAGGCTGTCACCCTCGAATGAAACAAAACGCCCGGGATACATCAGAAGAATATATTGTATGACATTCAACAATTCAGGCAACGGTCGGATCGGCAAGCTGCCGAGGAAATCTCGGTGGGTCACTCAAAATATGGGCCAGTTATGAGTGTTAATTGGTAAATTTTTCTTTTTATGATAATGACAAATGAGTACAAACATGAGTATAGAAATATATATAATTTAATGAAACTCAGTGGGCCGATAGTCGATACCATGACTATCCTGTTACACCGACTCGACAAAGGACGAAAACGCAACACAACAGTAGTATACCACTAAACCATGGTATCGGTATACAGGATGCGTGAACGGAAAAGGGCGGATTACTTGTCATTGCATAACAACGGCGTGCAAGAACACAGCAATACGGAACGCAAACAAACGTGACATACCACATACAGGATGATAAAACGTATAAATTCGACAGTAACACTCAAGGCGGAATGTGCCACTGCCACAACAAAATACGAATGTACATTGAAATTAAGATGACACTTACGGCTAATTCGGACATGTAACAAAACGGCCATACACCGTCAGCATAATTAGTAAAATAATTCGTGATGCTATAATAAAACGGCTGTCACGACATAGTGACATGGCTGGCACTTGGACGCACACTTAGTCAAGTCAGAAGACGGGACATGACATGTCAATTTATTAATATTATATAGATGTCGTTGATAATGACATCTTGGCCGTGTGCAACGGCGCCACGGCGGGTTCGTTTTAGTTCAAATCCGAGATGACGGGTGTATCACCAGCTGAAGTCGTATGCACTATACAATGCCTGCGGTGAAATCACGACTTTCCAACTTGAATTTAGTCGGGCTTGCATATTTCAGCTCATTAAAAACTATTGATGTATCATGTATCCTGTTGGCGGAGGACAGTGACCGGATCTCGAATTCGGACGAAATATTATTGTGAATCCACTGCGATATTCTTTATGGGCTGGGCACGTATGTTAATGTATTATAAGAGCATTATGGTTTAAACTGCAGAATAGAATACGTTATTCCGCAGTGTTCGTTGTAACAATAATACTAAAATAATATAATTTAAAGTAGAAGGATTGTATTTTGATCATCCAAATTGGGTTAATCTTTTTATGTGAACGACAATCTACGCATTGATGCAAAAAAAATTTGAAATGTTTAATATTTTTTTCACTTTTGAATTGCGGGACATTAATATTTGTATTAGCACGGTACTATCCATTGAGGGTTGGGACACACCAAGAGACTGAATCATTCGACCCACCGCAATACCAAGTTGTTGGAACCAGCACGTTCTTTTGTTCTGAGGTATTTACGCTTGGTAGCTTGACTCAGTGGCGTGGCGAAGTA